CCCCAAATTATACATCTCTTCCCTCTCTTATTCCCACTCTTATGTTTAACAGGGATCACATTTCAGTTAATTTTCAACACTTAAGAATAACTGTGTGATAATTACAGAATTAAACCAGTCATATTAAGTAGAACAGACAAAAAAAAAATACTATGAGGGATAATGTATTAAGTTGTCCATTAGCAGTCAGGGCTATGCTGATCAAGTCACCATTTCTCATAGTGTCCATTTCACTTCAGGAGGTTTCCTTTTTGGTGTTCAGTCAGTTGTCACCGATCAATGAGAACATATGGTATTTGTCCCTTTGGGACTGGCTTACTTCACTCAGCATGATGTGTTCCAGATTCCTCCATTTTGTTGCAAATGACTGGATTTCGTTGTTTCTTACTGCAGTATAGTACTCTAAAGAATACATATCCCATAATTTCTTTATCCAGTCTACCATTGATGGGCATTTAGGTTGGTTCCAGGTAAAGGGTTAATAACCAGAATCTACAAAGAGATCAAGAAACTCCACAAAAACAAAACCAACAACCCACTTAAGAGATGGGCCAAGGACTTCAATAGACATTTTTCAAAAGAGGAAATCCAAATGGCCAACAGGCACATGAAAAAATGTTCAAGGTCACTAGCCATCAGGGAAATGCAAATCAAAAGCACAATGAGGTTTCACCTCACCCTGGTGAGATTCAGAAATCTACCAACAACAGATGCTGGCGAGGATGTGGGGAAAAAGGGACACTAACCCACTGTTGGTGGGAATGCAAACTGGTCAAGCCACTATGGAAATCAGTCTGGAGATTCCTCAGAAACCTGAAGATAACCCTACCTTTCGACCCAGCCATCCCACTCCTTGGAATTTACCCAAAGGAGTTTAAATTGATAAACAAAAAAGCGGTCTGCACCCTAATGTTTATTGCAGCACAATTCACAATAGCCAAGACCTGGAACTTTTACAAATTTCATGTATTTCATATATACAGATTAAGGAACATGCTGATACTTCCCACCCTTCCCTCCCTCCAGGCCAGACTCCAGCCAGGCTTTCCCTCTGGCTCTATCCGAGAGGCAGGGGCTGCTGCTGTCTGATCTCTCCACACTCTCCAAAGCTGGCACTTTCGCCAGCTCTCAGCTGCTGGGGTTGTGTATTGTATCAAGGCTCCTGCTGTGCATCCTCACTTCCACAGGGATCCACCGGATCCACCGTGTTCCCCTTCCTTACATAGAATTTCCACTGCGGTTTTCTAACTCTACCCTAAGAATGTACTCTCTACAAGTGTGTGTGTGTATATATATATATATATATATATATTTTTTTTTGCGATTTACCCCTAGCCTACAGCAGTACTTCATTCACTATTCTGCCATCTCCATGTATCCACATATGGCTTCTTTCACTTAGTGATATCTAACTCTGTATTTTCATGTCTTAATAGCTATTTTCTTTTTAACACTAAATAGTATTTAAATAATATTCTAATGTATTGAAATATTATAGTTTGGTTTATACATTAAAGTATTGAAAACACCTTGCATGGGGCCAATGCTGTGGCATAGCAAGTAAAGCCACCACCTGAAGTGCTGGCATCCCATATGGGTGCTGGTTCAAGTCCCAGCTGCTCCACTTCTGATCCAGCTCTTGGCTGTGGCCTAGGAAAGCAGTAGAAGCCAAGACCTTGGGCCCTTGCACCCATGTAGGAGACCTGGAAGAAGCTCCTGGCTCCTGGCTTCGGATCGGTGCATCTCCAGCAGTTGCAGCCAGCAGATGGAAGACCCCTCTCTCTCTCAGTCTCTCTGTCTCTCTCTGTGTAACTCTGACTTTCAAATAAATTTTAAAAAAAAGAAAACACCTTGCTGTCTTTCAGCTTTTGTCAAAGATGGATAAGACTGCTACAAGCACCTTTGTGGAGGTTTTGTAAGAAAATATAAGCTTTCAGCTCATTCGGATAAATACCAAGGAGCACAAGAGCTGGAAAACATGGTATGAATATTTTAGTCCTGTACGAAAACATCAAAGTTTCTTCCAAATGTTTGTACCTTTTGCATTTCCACTAACAATGAAAAGTAATTCCATTGTTCCACATGCTTCTCAACATTTGGTTTTATGCATGTTTTATATCAGAACCATTGTATAGGTGTTTAGTGCCTTCTCATTGTTATTTTAGCTTAAACTTTCCTAATGAAAGATGGCATTGAGCATTTTTCAAATACTTGTTTACCATCTGTTTTTTTTGAATGAAGTATTTGCTCAAATATTTTGCCCGTTTTTTGTCAAGTTGTCCATTTTACACTGTTGAGTTTTAAGATTCTTTGAATATTTTGAAATAATTTTATCAGATATGTCTTTTCTAAGTATTTCTCACACTCTATACCTTTCCTAATCATTATCTTGACATTATCTTTTGCAAAATGTATTTTTTATTTTAATGAAGTCAATTAGTCAAATTTTCCTTTCACAGAAGGTGTTTTTGATAGGGTATTTAGAAAATCAGTACCACACTATCTTGATTACTATAGATTTATAAAAAGTCATGAAGGCAGAGAAGTAAGGTCAGTCATCTGACTTTGTTTTCCTTAAATATTGGCTAAACTACTTAGGGTGGGCAACTTGGGTTCTTCTCTGGGGCATGGGAGGTTGGGCAAGGCCTCCTTTCTTGTTCACTGGGCAGAGTTGGTGGAACCTCTTGTGGATCCCTAGTGGTTTGGGTATCAAGATGCTCTGTGCAGCAGAAGCCTGGGTTGGGAAGGAGACAACCTGGGCTGAGCTCTTTTGCCAGGGCAGTACAGTTGTTTGGTAATCCAGCAGATCCCCAGTTTGATTGTGGAGCACTCCCCCAGAAAATGCTTCCCATGTTCATGGAGTGAATATGTGCAGCCAGGAACCACCTGCTCACCCTTTCCCCACCGAGAAAAATTCCTCCTGAAACAGGGTTGGTGCCAAGTGACAGAATGGCGTAAGCTCTGTGCTTAGTTCCCTTGTTTATAAAGCCGACATCTATTTCTATGGTTTCAGCCTCTATTCTGTGCTCATTTTTGTGCCTTCCTCCCCAGCAGGTGGAATCTTCCTTCATACTGAGATGCCCAAGGATGGGGAGGAGTGCTTGAGGCAATCAGGTCGCCACCTTGCTAATACAGTTTCAAAAACAAATTCCACATTTTCTGGCCTGTGGTCAGGGGTCAAGGTACTGAATTCTGCACTAGGTTTCACTATGGCAACCTTGTGATTCAATTACACGTCTGAAGCATGATCCCAACCCCATTTCCCTCATTCCCATGAGAGGCATCTCTTTCCACATTGCTCTATCTGGAGTTTGGAGAGGGTAATGCTGGTGACTTTTTCTTTCCTGCTTTTGTTAGTATTTCTGTAATACTATACTAAAACCTAGCATATGGTTTCTCACTTGGTTTCCTGAGTTTTTGCAAAATTTGATTTCACAATTACTGGTGTACTGTAAGATGAGCAGAGAAGCTAACACCTTGTTCTCTTCAGTAATTCAATTGTAATATTTTGAGCTACAGCTATACTATTTCATACTGGCTGCATCATTACCTCACTGAAACCAGTAGCCTCAAACTCCATTTGACTCTCCAACATGGATGACAGGGGCCCAGGCATTTGGATCATCTTCTGCTGTTTCTAGGCACATTAGTAGGAGGCTGGATCAGAAGTGGAACAGTATGACTTGAACTCGTGCTCACAAGGATGCTGTCTTTGCAGGTGGCAGTTAAATCCACTATGCTACAATGTCAGCATCTTTTGTTATATTTTTATTGATTCAGTCTCATAAGTATTCCCCAAACTCAAATGTTTCCCAAATCTACAACTGATGCATTGTTCAGCGTGAACCCTGGGAGGGACTTAAAAGGAATATTTTACCTTTCAGCCTTTTCGTGGCCCTAAGACAGTCTCAGGCTCCTTGTCATGTTCCCATAATTGCCACAATGCTGGATCAACTCTGGAGACCATAGTCCTCCAAGACTAGTACAGCCTGAGAGTAGAAACAAAGCTCACCCCACTATGGTCAGTCTGTGCTGAGGTGGGCTCACTGTCCAATGCCACACCTACCAGCCACTGGTGATGTTGACTGCTCAATCAGGACCACATAACTCTGCCTGGAACTGAAGTAGGGCCAGAGTCTCTGCCTGCAGACACTTGCCTTGGGACAAGGATCATTAAAACCTGCTCAGTGCCTGGTATTACCACCCTAGCACTGAGTCCCAAAAGAATCTGGTACCATCTTGTGGTGTGCCCAAGGTTGTAGGGAGGGTGCCTCCAGATACACAAGCCGACACTTGGTGGGTCACACCTGGGTCTCATAGTCAACAAGTCCAATGCAATCTTGGGGGTACATACGAGGCACTTGAGAGCTTAGTGGTGATACATGTATAAACAATTTGAATCCTATGCATTTATGTAATGTACATTTCCATAAAGTTTTTGAAGACCCATAATATACAATTAAATTGTTAAATGAGTAGAAGAAAAACTGTTTAATGAGAATTTCACATGTGTTATATTTCAGTTTTGTACATCTTGGAGATGAAATGAAGCTAATGATTATAGGACCACAGCATCAATTTAACATCACATTTATGCTATGTGTTGAACAATGTGTTGGGAGGGAGCAAAATACTGGGAACTAGTGAAGCTTTCCAGGAACTGTGTTTTCTGGAAGGAGAGGAGAATGATACTCAGAACATACGATTAGCAATATGAGAGTGGGAATACATATTTGAATATCAGTTGTAAAGAAAAACATTGAAAATATTCCAAAATTTATCCCATGTCCATAGTAACACCCAAGCTATTGTGTGAAATCTAACACACACATTTCCTAATGACTCATCTCAGTATTTCCATAAAGTTGGATGTCTCCCAGACATACGTTCTATCTTTCACATCCAAACCTCCAGTATCTCTAGAGGCGGTCAAGAGCACTTTCTGTTCTCTTTCCCTTTTTCTCTCTCTTTGCCCACCATTATGAAGACCACCATGGATTCTTGGGAATCTGTTTCCTTTAATTTTTACTCAAATTATGTACAAAGAAGAAAACTTGAGAACTGATTTCAGCAATTAATAATGCTTCTATTTAGAGCATGCAGAGGACATACGGATCCAAACTGTCCAATGTCAATCATCTTGCCCAAATTTACAGTGACAGCATATAACATAGTATTATACAAGTATAAGCCCATGTGGTGGTCAGGCCAAGAGTATTAAGTGTGGTGATAGCAAACATACATTTGTGAAGGGACCCAGGTGACTCCCACCGAATGGAGAATGGATCTTGCGCAATGAGGAAATGTCAGAGGCCAGGTCAGAGCAGGCCCCCATGACAGGGGGAAACAGTTGGCGAGTGTCCTGGAGGAAGGGGAATTGCAGATGTAAGCATGGCATCCCGTGACCTGACCTTCCTCAGACAGGAATGAAGCTGACCCGGTACAAGGGTGGCACACGGACAATTCCACTGGAGAATGGATTTTCATCAACATTGTTTGGGTTGACCAGAGGTTTCGGGGTAAAGTTCTGTAAAATGGCAGTCAGGAACAGAAACAGCTCCATGCGGGCCAGGGCCTCTCCCACACACACTCGTTTTCCTGAAAAAAAACAAGCATAGAGGATTTGTTATCTAAACATTAAATTTTGAAACTATCAAAAGAAGTGTGTAGCAACTACTTGGTCACTGATTGAATAGATGGATGGATTGAAGATAGTGTGGCTGGCAGGATGGTCAATTAAGAGCACTGACTGCAAGCTAACGTCTTATTGTATCAGGCATGCCTTATTCAACAAATATTTATTGAACGTTAGTTCGGTGTCACACATTTCATTAACTATTCCCACATTATAAGTCCTCTTTTGACACTGTTAGTTCTTAGCAACCTTGTTCCAGAAACACACAACTCCCTTCACAGGACTGAAGGGAGAAAGATTGAGAAGAGGTGGTTCATACATGAGCATGCCTCAGAAAGTTCAAAATGAAATAGAATGAAAAGATATGTTCATTTTGGTGCAAAATATAATTCAGACAGATGGATTTTTCATCGTGTGCATTGTCCATGAGTTTTTGAAGATCTCTCTTACAACACATCACAAAAATTTTCATCATCAAAGTATATGTATTTTTAATTCCATTTTCTACCAACTCTTTAAAAAGTTCCCTCACATTCTATATCCTTTTGAATCTTGGTGGAATATTTAGCCAAAGACTTTCTTTCCCCAAGACAATTTCAAAACCATATGTCTAAATATGCCACTCTTTAAATTTAAAACTTTAGATGGCTCCCTTGTCTTTCCTTGGGATAGGGTCCAAATGGCTTGGTTTGGCTCTTCACATTCTATTCCTGTTCTGATGTTCAATATCACTCCTCCCATGCTCTGTTTCCTCTATTCAGCTCTTGTCATCAATGTCAAGTACCCCATGAAGTTTCAGGCTTCATCTCATGCTATCCCATTGGTCTAAGAAGCTCTTTTCTGCTTCCTGTGGAACTGCGTCCCACATCACTTACTCTACGATGTTAGTGATCCCTTCAGGCAGTACAATCTCTCCCTCTCTATATTTCTGATCAGATCCATGATCCACTGATGCCTGCATCACCATGAGTATCATTCTCTACTTTTTATGCAGATAAAATGTGAATTATTAAAAGAAGAGCTCAGTCCTTGACACACTGATATGAACAATGCCAGACCCACAGTTGGCATTGAAAAGACAGAAAAAAAAATAAAGCAGACTCCATAACTAGACTCAGCACACACTTTAGCTGTGGACACCGAATGTTCAAGGTGTACAGTCGTGCATATAGGAAGATCCAGACGCGCTGTGATCATTTCAGAGTATCCTCCACATTCCCAATGTTTCCCTGTTCCTGCATCTAATAGGCTGGCTCTGACTCCCTGGATCTATGGAAAATGTCCTGCTCCTGCGGTCGATTGCCTCTGAAACAGTGTCCTGCTTCTCTCCTTTCCTTGCTCTCCACCTCCTAGGAGACAGCTCAAATCTCCTTTCCCCTCTTACAAAGCTACAGTGTCAGCAGCAAGTCCACTGCTTCTCACCCAGCCTCTGAAGCAACCTCTGCTTTCCTTGTTCAAGGCTTATCCTGCAGGGGTACATATAGTGCTCTGGCTATTCACCTGCTTCCCTAACTTGGAAGGAAGCTCCTGAAGAACCTCAGTTGCTCTGTTTACTTATTAAGTCCCGATAACTCATTCAGTGTAGGGAGAACATTCTCACAAGTATGCGGTTAGATAACTTACTCATGCAGGTATGGAAAGTGTAAATGAATTTCACCTTCTATGAGGAGCACATGTGTAGCCACATATGTCTATAGTCAGAATTCTAATTAAACTGTACTGCAGCTTCCTCAATTTGAAATGACTGGATTAACATCCCAAAGCCACACTAACCTGTCTCTATAATTAGAATGAGAATTATCATGAGCAAGGGAGTCACATGAGGTCCCTCATCATGTACAAAGGGCAAATCCAGCAGCTCCACAGGACAAACTGCCTAAGTTTTAATTGAACCCCAAAATCTAACTTGTCCCCCAAAGTACAAATAGAAATGACTTTCTGTTACCTGTTGAGAAAGGCATGAAGTAGTCACTTTTCCTAAAGTTGCCGCTGGCATCCAAGAAGTGGCCAGGGTCAAACCTGTCTGGGTTGGGGAACTCTTTGTCGTCATGCAGTACAGAAGACAGTGATGTTAGTACATCTGTGCCCTGTGAAACACAGACAGAGAAACTGAATCCTAAAGAAGGCAAGGAATGGGAAGAAAGGCTGGATATCAGGAATCAAGCCCTTTGGTCTTTAGCTGAGGAAAATTGAGTGCAAAGAAGGGCAGTGACATTCCCAGCTACACCAAGTAATAAACAAAGATGAGTTTAAACCCAGGAGCAGTGATTTTGCTCAGAGCCTTCCAACAGCACTAAAGTACTAAGGACTTGGGACCCTGAGTGGTCAACCCTCTTTAGCTCCCCTCTATATCACCAGCTTGCACCCAGGTACCTGTCCTCATTGCCTGAGTTTCCACACATCTCATATGTGAATTTTTCTCTAACATGGAAGTTGATGCTAGCTAAATGTGCTGACTCTAGAAAAGCCAGGAGTACTTGAAACTATTCAAAGGTCATATTAGTTGGAGGTCTCATCTAACTAGGCCTTTGGAAAATAAGCAAGTATAGTGAAATCTATTTAGTCCTCATTATTTGGATGCAATATTTTTCATTTAATATGAAAATGTAGGGTAACTTCATTATAGATGAATCCTACTTTAAAAAACATAGAGGCCAGGGCAGGTACTTGATAGAGTAGTTAAGGTCCCACTTTTAATGCTCACATCCACATCCAACTGTCAGGTTTGAATGTCAGCTCTGCTTCTAAATTTAGCTGTGCACCCAGGGAGGCAGCAAGTGATGGCTCAAGTTCTTAGGGCCCTGCCACTCATGTGGGAGACCCAAGCTGAGTTCCTATTCTCAAACATTTGGAAAGTGAATCAGAGCATGTAAGAACTCTGTCTCTCTGTTCCTCTCTCTCTCCCCCTCTCTCTGTCTCTCTCCATCCTCTCCCTCATTCCCCCACTCCCTCACTCCCTCTCTCCCTCATTCCCTCTCCTCCTCACTCTCTTTCTCTTTCTCCCTCTCTGAGTCTGCCTTTCAAATATACAAAAATTAAATACCTTTAAAACTTAAATAAAAAGAAGACATGAAAAATTAGAGAAATCATTTTGCAGCGGTCCAAATAGAATGATTAATACAGATAAGGAGTATTAATTAATAATTGCTAGCTAAATTTCAATTTGGGAAACAGGATATCCATAAGGTCTTAAGGTCCCATGCAATAGATTGTATTTACTAATTTCATATGAAAAACAGACTATCCGTAATGGGGTAATCTGGCAGACACCCCTACTTTCTAAGGGAAGACTTTAACACCAATGCTGGAATGCAGTAAGATCGTGTCCCCCTAGGAAACAGTAGGAGGTACACATCACCCATGCAATATTTTAGCCCACAACACAACTCTAGTCTCTAAAAAACATTCACACAAAGCCAGACTGCAAAATGTTTCAACTGACAAGTGGACTGGGCTTTCAAAACTATCGGTGCATTCAAGGAAAACAAAAGAGGAAAAGGAACTAGTATGGATCACGGGAGACTAAGGGAATGAGGTAACTAAAGAAGCCTTGCTGTTGATTGAAATGGGAAAGTGCTCTCTCTGGGAAAAAATCTATAAAATATATCTGAGGATAACTAGGAAATTGTAATTATATTATAATAATTGCTGTATATATGACAGAACTCTTCTGTGTGAATGTTGTAATTGTCATGTGGCAGAAACTGCTTGTTCTTAGGAAACACATATACTATATATAAGCATTAAATGTGATAGAGTAGACACATATATGGATTAATGTAGACATATATGCTTTTCATATGTGTAGGCTGTATGTAATACTTATGTACATAGCTTCATATTAAAATTTATAAGTTTTTGATTCAAAGTTTAAGGGAAATACCATCTAAGTTGATCATATTTTGGTCTATAATTTTGCTTTTAAAATTTTTCACATACATATTACTTACTTTAAATTATTACCTTACATTTTTTCACACAAATAATACTTGGAAATGTTATTTTAACAAACAAAAGCAGGCTTTGCGCCCCAGGTGGTTAAGCTGCCCTGTGGTGTAACCACATCCCACCTTGGAATGCCAGTATGAATTCCCACTGTTCCACTTCTGACACAGCTTTCTGCTAATGCATCCTGGAAGACATCAAATGATGACTCCAGTTCTTGGACCCCTGACACTCACAGGGGACATGCACATAGAGTTCTGGGCTCTCGGCTTCAGCAGAACCTAGCCTGACTGCTGCAGAGCCAGTGGATAAAAGATCCCTCTTTCTCTCTCTCTCTCACTGTGTGTGTTTAAGTTTGTCTCTCTGTGGCTGTGTTTGTGTGTGTTCCCCTCTTTGTTCTTCAAGTAGATGAAAATAAAAAAAATAAACATCATTTAAAAGAAGAATAAGCAGACATACTTTCAGCAAATCACACCAAATGTAAGTGGATATCCGTAGGTAAAATAAGCGATCATTGCTTTACAGGAAAAAGTAAAAATTAACTTTAATTGTATCCTATGCCTGAAGGTAAGAGTTAAAAAACTATGCACCAATTCACAGAATAAATGAGAATAAGTATTTGAGATCTTGTGCTTGCAAATAACATTTTCAATGTGACACAAAAGCACAAGAAATAACATAAATAATTGATAGATTGGACTCTATTGATTGTTCTTTAAACACATTCTTTTTTTTTACCTGAAAGAGACAGATAGACAGAGATCTCCCATCTACTGGTTCAGTCCTAAAACGCACATAACAGACAAAGAAGGGCCAGGATAAAACTCAATCCTAGTGTTCAATATAGTTAACAGGGTCCCAATCACTAGGGCCAAACCAGTGCTGGACAGAGTCCCACAACCCCTGCCCTTGGCCCAGTACCTGGAGCCTGAATGCCTGGACACTCATTAGTTGGGTGGCCAGTGAACTGCCTCCACTAGCCCTCCCCCAGTCCTTGCCAGACAGTGACACAAGACTCTAGCCAACGAGGAGCAGAACAAGAAAATGAGCTCAGGACCTTGCCATACACTTTTGTGCCAGGTCTGCCACGACGAGCCTCAGCTCCAGACAAGGCCCAGAAGCATCCTCCCTAATGCCAGCGCTCACAGACAGAGCTTCTAGGCCAGGGGTTGGAAAACTGTCTTCTGCCAAGGGCCATTTGGAGATCCATAACATCATTTGTCAGCCATACAAAATTATCAACATAAAATCTAGCCTGCTACAGATTTAGTGAATTTCAAGTTCGGCCTGTGGTTGCCTTGCCAGAACCAGACAAATGATTTTGCAGGCCACCCGTGCTCTAGACACCCCTCTGCATCAAGCAGAGCCCCTCCTGCCTCTTGGTAAGATAAAACCATTTTGTCATGGATCACCACCAGCCACACATGGGCCTGGCATGCACACCTGCCTTCACAGGACCTGGTGACAAAGACTCAGGTGTGACCTACTATGTGCCAGTCTAGGGGCCAAGCACCGCATTTATCACTGGTCCTTCAAGGTTGGGCAGACAGCAAGGAGCAAGATTCCAGCCAAAATAAGTGAGTAGGGCACTACTGAGAACAGTAGTGAAAGCAGGACTGACTCCTGGGACTCGATTCCAGGCTGATAAAACCCAGCCCTGGAAAAATCCTAAGAATCCCTGCCCAGAGCTCAGGAACGAGGATGGAGCCTCCAGTCTGGCCCCAGTGCCTTATGGAAACAAGTGGTCCCAGGTAATTGGACTTAAATCCCAGATAGCATCATGTATGCTTGGTTGCAGTGGCCACAGGCCATCAGCCTAACCTGGTATCAGGCATCCCAAAGAATCATGGGCCTCCTTCTCCCGTGTTACACTTTTCTAAGAGGATTAACCTAGGACACCATGGCACCGGCCCCTATAATCAATTTTTGACTGTATTCATCTACAGTTCTGAGTGAAGATGAGGAATTAAATTGCTCTGTCTGCCTAGTGTGGGAGATGAAACATTTCTGGAAGAACTTCACAAGAGACCGAATGTTTTCTTATGGCATACCTGACACTTAACCAATGCATATTAGGGACTCCAAAGACATAACTAATGCAGGCAGTGAGAACTGGAAGAGTATGTTTAACCCAGCAGTTAAGATGTCTGTGTCCCACATCAAAGAACCTGGGTTCAGTTCCCAGATCCAGATCCTGATTCGTTTCCTGCTAGTGCTTACCCTAGGGGGCAGTGGTGATAGCTCAAATAGTTGAGTTCCTGTCATCCTGTAGGAGACATGGGTTAGGTTACCTGCTCTTGGCTTCAGCACAGCCCTGACCATTAGAGGCATTAGCGGAATAAACCAGTTGATGATCTCTCTCTCTCTCTTTTCTCAGAAATAAATGTGTAAAAAAAATAAGAAAGGAGGAAAAGGCAATAAAATAAACTCACAGTAGAAAATATTACCTACATTTTTATGAAGTTAAAAGTACCTTCATATAAAAATATGACAAAATTAATTTCTGGAAAAAATTTGAGACCAGTGTGTTATAAATATAGATACAAACATCCTTAACAAAGTAGTAAATCCAACCCAGCTGTGTATGTATGTTAATTAGTGCATATAAATACATACTATATTTATTGCACATTATATATAAGCAGTCCAAAATATATGGTCATTTAAACAAATGCAGACAATCCACTTAATTCAAGTGCATATGCATTCATGACAAAAAAAGAAAATAAGATTGCAAACTTCCCTAATCTGTTAAAAATTATTCACCAAATATACATTCAACACCATTCTCAAATGTTAAACCTCCACCTCTCCCAGGGATCAGACACAAAACAAGGATGCTCATATTCATGACTCCTACTCAATACTGTTCTTTAGGTCACAGCCAGTGAAATAAGGAAAAGAGAAACTGAAAATAAGAAAAAGACAAATATTAAGCCATATCACAGAAATGTGTACATAGAAATTACACATGAATCTACAAATTATTAGCGATGATAAATGAATTTAGCAGGTTAGCTGTATATCGTTACCAAAACAATAAAGGCAATTATATTTCCACATACCAGAATAAAGAAAGTATAAAAGAAATTTTCAGAAGTAAATTATTTACAATAAACTCAACCCATCACTTATTTAGGGGAAAAATGTGTATGTGTGAAAGACACTGTACTGAAATTAACATATAAGAAAATTTTTAAAATCCCAAATAAAATAAAACAAAAATTATGTCTATGAATTGAAAAATTCAGCTTGTCAAGACGTTGATTCTTCTCATATTGATCTATAGATCTAATGCCACCTGGATAGAAATCCCAGGGTGTTGAGTAGTTGACACAACTAATGCTTTTAACACTTATCTGAAAATGTAAGCACCCAAAGAAAGCAAAAATCTCTTTTAAAAACAGGACATATTTGCAAGGCTCTAGCTAAGCTGAAAGTATGTCATTGTAAAAATAAAAGAAAGTAAGAAAAGAAAGAGGAAGGTGGGAGTGAGGGAGAGAGGAAGAGTAGTTTGGGAAGTGTCATTATGCTTTAAAACTGTATACATGAAATACATACAATTTGTTTCCATTATATAAACATTTTTAAGTAAAATAAAGACATGTTTTATAGTCTAACACTGAAACATCAGACTTCCACTCATATAAGTTTTTCTTTCTCTCATTTTGTGCTGCAGAGGACTGGAACTATACTAGGTCTGGAAACTTCAAGATCAGAGACCTGCAGTGTAGGAGGAGCAAACTTACCTTGGGGATGAGATAGTTTCTGAACTTAAGGTTACAGATTGTTGTATGGGGCACATTGTTGGGGATGAGGTTAATGTATCTCTGGATCTCGTGCACCGTGGCATCCGTGTAGGGCATGCGGCTCCTGTCCTGCATGCAGGGGCTCCGGTGTCGGCCAATCACACGCTCGATCTCCTCCTGCACTTTAGCTAGAAGACACAGTAAGAAATCTTGGAATAGGAGAAGCGTGGCACATTTATGGTAGCAACTGAGAGTTAAGTGAAACAAGATGAAAGTGTCCCAGCAGCCATAAAAGGTTATAGTACATGTAGATTAACAGAAAGAATCACTGTGTTATAGACACAGAAGAGAAACTTCAAAAACTTCAAGAAAACTTTTTACCATGAAGAAACTATGCATGGATTTAAATAATTTTTTGCACAAAACAAGCATTTTTTGTTCCATATTCCATGAACATTTTGAATTACCGTGATATAACTCTCTTACAAGATATGCATTAAGATATATCTGTACACATCTGTATATTAGCCTTTAGTATAAGAAATAGAAATAGATAGGAAAAGATGCTTCAAAATACAAGTGTTTAGTATACATTAACTCAAGAAATTATTCTTTAAGAACAAAAAATGGAAACAAGTACTAATTTTATATCAAAATTATATATGGTATTTTAAATGTGAATTCCATAAAGTGATCCATATGTGGGTAAGGATTTATGCATTAGGCATGTCACTTTATTTACAACTTGGAGTCTATGATCTGCACATACTCCAAAGGTGCTCATTTTGAAAGATTCTAGTAGTTTCTTTAAAATTTAGGTACAAATTTCTTTTGTTTGTGCTTGGCTTATTATTTTAATTGTTGATGTTTTTGGGTACAGTTGACAATTTGAAGCATGTGTTCAGTATGTCATGAGCATATTAGGTGAGTTAGCATTTCCACTTCCTTAAATGTCTTACATTTTCTGGTTAACATTTAATTGTTATACATACAGATGGGGTATCATAGTTCAGTAAATGTATACATCATGAGCTGATGGAAACAAAGTGACTAAATTTCCTTCTCTTGTCATGACTTGATGTTTGCAGGCTTCAAGCTCCTGTCTTTTATTTGCTCACAAAATACATAATAAGCGGTGGTGAACTGTAGACACCCCACTGTGCTGCAAAACACCAGAACTCATTCCCTCCGTGTTTGGTATTGTCATCAACCTCCCTGATTCTCTACCCTTCCAAACCTCTAATAATCACTATTCTACAATCAGATTTACACTTTTATGACTTCCATATAAAACAAAGAATGTGCAATATTTCTGAGTCTGGATTTACTTAACATCATGACCTGCAGTTCCATTCATTTTGTTCCAGTTAATAGAATATCACTGTTTTTAAGGCTGCATAGATTTTTATTCTATATAGACTGCATTTTCTTTTTCCAGTAATCTGTTGATGAACATCAAGTTTAATTTCGTATCAAAATAATGCAACAACAAGCATAGATATTTTTGACATGCTGAGTTAGCTTCCTTTGACTTTATACTCAGATGTAGAATAGTAAGATCATATGCTATCCATTTTTAGTTTTTTGAAGATTATGTTCACATTTCTAAACAATGACTCTAGTTCTTCATTTTTTCTATTTTTAGATAATTCCTAGATGAGTTTAGAAAAAATAGGGGACATTGGATATGATTTAAAAATTATGACAAATATACTAATATAAGACATTAAAAATCAGGGAAGCTGGATGTGTAATATTGGGAACCCTTTGTAAAACTATAATTTTTGGGGCCGGCACTGTGGTGCAGCAGGTTAACGCCCTGGCCTGAAGTGCCGGCATCCCATATGGGCACCGGTTCGAGATCCGGCTGCTCTACTTCCTGTCCAGCTCTCTGCTGTGGCCTGGAAAAGCAGTAGAAGATGGCCCACATCCTTGGGCCCCTGCACCCGTTTGGGAGACCTGGAAGAAGCTCCTGGCTCCTGGCTTTGGATCGGCACAGCTCTGGCCATTGCATGCAATTGGGGAGGAACCATCGAATGGAAGACCTTTCTCTCTCTCTCTCTCTCTCTGCCTCTCTTCTCTCTAACTCTGACTTTCAAGTAAAATAAATAAATTTGGAAGAAAAAAAAACTACAATTTTTGTTTTGTAACTTTAAAACCATTCTGAAATAAAAAAAATATAAAAACTTTTAATTTCTGAAAACTTGCTAATAGGAGAGAGAGGTAAGGACATACATCTCCACCAACACCTCATCCAAAATGTACAAATCCACGCACCCAGCTCCAGACACACAGATACACACACATTTCCCAGCGCCCTATTTTTGCAATATGCTCATATCACAAATTTTACCATATCGATGTGAGGTGCATTGTTTCATTATGTTTGAATATCTGTTGGTCATAGATAGGACAATTGTGACCATGTTTCATCTTTTGCACATCATGTCTATTTCCATTTTCAATTTCAGATGCAATTTTAAATGGTGCAGATGCTCAGGTTTCAAATTGCTAGTAATGATCTGCTAATTACTGACAGCATCAAATAAACAATTACTTCTCTTCTGTCTGGGGTGTCTCCCCTACATCCACAGTATCCACGTGGTCCTCTCTGAAGTCGTTGCTCCCTAAGCCTGGTACCCAGCACCCTCCTTGACCCTCTCGGCCTCCACCTCATGAGCTCGCCTGATTCCTGATGCCCATGACATCGTCTCGCTTGGTTGTAGCTGTTTGGACACAGCACACCCTCTAGTAGCCTTCTGAGCAAACAAAAGCAGAGGATGAAGTGGTCGTCAATTAGAGGTCTCAAATAGAAGAATACACAACAGGACAAAAATTCAAGAATTTTAGTGCCACTCAAATACTCATTCACTCAGGTTCAGTTTCTCCAGAAAGAATGCCTTCCTTTTCTGGGGAAGAAAACAGTTCTCAGATAAATATATTGGCCGGGAGAGCCTCCCGTTCTCTGCTCTGTTCTGCCTCTGTCTGCTTGAACTTTCTGCTCTTCCCCAAACTGAGACTTATTGGAAGTGTAGTGGTACACATTGTCCTGCTCATTTGGTATAAATCTCTTACAACATTTATAAATGTCAACCTCGCTACAGTATTGAATATTACCCTTCAACTACTCTGCATGTTCCAAAATAATGTTAAACGCTCTAGCAGAAAGCATTCTCATATGTATATACTTTATTATTATTTCAGTGGAATTCTGAACCACAATAACCTGAGTAGGTAATATGATACATAGATGATAAATAGATGCAGAACTTGCTTACAGGTAAGTAAATATTAAATTTTTAAAGAAGGTATTTGTTTTTCATTCAGATTCATTTTTAATTACCTTTATAGACAGAAAACCAACTCTATACTAAGTAAAGATTTCAACAGTTTGCACCCACACAGACACACAAAGTATAAAGTACTATTTGAGCCGGCACCGCGGCTCACTAGGCTAATCCTCCGCCTTGCGTTGCCGGCACACCAGGTTCTAGTCCCAGTCAGGGCGCCGGATTCTGTCCCGGTTGCCCCTCTTCCAGGCCAGCTCTCTGCTGTGGCCAGGGAGTGCAGTGGAGGATGGCCCAAGTGCTTGGGCCCTGCACCCCACGGGAGACCAGGAGAAGTACCTGGCTCCTGCCATCGGATCAGCGCGATGCACCAGCCGCAGCGCACCGGCCGTGGCGGCCATTGAGGGTGAACCAACAGCAAAAGGAAGACCTTTCTCTCTGTCTCTCTCTCTCTCACTGTCCACTCTGCCTGTCACAAAAAAAAAAAAAAAAAAAAAAAAAAAAAAAAACCAACAACAACAAAAAGTACTATTTGAAGACTAGTTTTACTGTTAATTCTCATAGTACAACACATTAAGGACAGAGGTCCGACATGGGGAGCAAGTGATTGAGACTCTTGTTGATTTAACAATTGATGTCAGTGATCACCCAAGGCTCTTGTCATGAGCTGCCAAGGCTACGGAAGCCTCTGGAGTCCACAAACTCTGACCTTATTTAGACAAGGCCATAATCAAAGTGGAAGCTCTCTCCTCCCTTCAGAGAGAGGTACCTCCTTCTTTGATGGCCCCTTTGATGGCCTTTAAAAAAGAAAAAAATCTTGTCTTGGTAAATTCTTTTCTTGACTCAGTTCCTGGATTAATAAAATCCTCAGGTATATGTGCTGCCTAACTTGCATACAGTTTTCTTACAAATATAAACTTTAAAAATCCTTCACAGACTGTGGAAATTTTCTCAGGTCATGTCATCAAATTTCTAGTATATCCAATATACATCAACAAATAAGAGTTTTGATCATCCTTACCTCAGCATAAGAAAACTACATTTTCAGAATAATGAAAGATCTCTGAGAACATAGCTACCATTCAAAGTATCCTGCTCTTCAGAAGAAAAAGAAAAACAATCCCAGGCCAGTTTGTGATGCCCGTGCTTACTCAAAGGCCCTCCCATGGAGCCCAGCACCTTATCTGGAGTGTGTAGGCATCAATCCAGAGCTTTACGATTTTGCGACTGTTCACATTGTCTTCACTGCTCTCAGTCACTATCCCCTTTGTGCACACTTGGTCATTCTATCCCTATATATTTGTACAATTTCAAGCTGGTGGAACAGAAATCTCAATAATGAAGCTTTTTTAAGAGAAAGAAGATTGAGGATACCAGCAGTGGCTTCCCAATCTCTCTCCTGATGTTGGCCCAGCTTCTTAATTATGAACATACCTATGACTTCTGGGTGCTTCATCAGGAGTAGAAGTCCATACCTCAGGGTGGTGCTTGTTGTCTCTGTTCCAGCCATAAACACATCACTCACTGTGGTCAGTAAGTTTTCAATAGTAAATTCAGACTGTTGATTACACTTTTCCTACAAATTACATAAGTATTTGATACATTGTCAGGATATTTAATAAAACTCAATCCAAAAGATCGCAAGATTTTCTAAAGGTAAGCAAACTTATACAATGGAGAAAGCAGTATTAAAACTACAGCAACTGCATGGTGTGGCAGAGAATGTAGTTTAAGCGGCCCAGTCTTCATTTCATTAAGCCTATTTCCCTTGTTTGCCTCAAACTTCCACTTCTTAGCCTCTCTTGCAGCTGGGTTGTCCATGCCATGTTTTTATCACCAGTAGCATCAGAGAAGGACCTGCTGATGTCACTTCCTCTTTCCTTCTTCTTACTCCAAACACGTGTGAGTATATGAAGTGGAGTCGATAAAGACTTCATTTTGGAACATGAGTTTCAGCATTAATGGAAAGGCACATGGGCTAAATGTGGTAATAGAAAATGGTAGGCACCTGAGTCCATGAGGCTTCAGCTTTGTGGTACTAGTTCTGAACTATCAACATAAGACTCCCTGGATGTGAACTAAACATACCACTTTTTATTATTTTACTATTATTTTTATTGCTAATTGAGTTTTCACTTCTTTGTATGAAGACAAAAATCTTAATCGACAGAAATGGAGATATTAAGGTCATATCATATTTGAAAAAATGTAATAAGTCAGAATCAAAATATAATTCTCAGAGTGTGACATCAACAACATGGTACCACAGGCAGCTTTTCCCACTCTGTCCATGGATGCTCTAAATAAACATAAAACTATAAATTAATTCCTTGTGAAGGAAAGCAAGACAAGTCAAGAGAATCTTGCATATTTACCTACTAGGAAAATATTCACACCGAATTGGAAAGGAAAGTTCTGACAAACTCAGATATGGGCCACACCTTATGCACCATGTCACACAATACAGAAGAAAAACCCAAAACTGAGTTTATTCCAAGAAGAAAGATTTTAGATCAGCCGTGTAACGCCCAGCCTCACTGGTTCCCAGGATTTGCATCTTAATTCATTCACTCTAGGAGAACAGGTGTACCTGGGTTTCTAGACCACATAAAAAATGTGGCAGTTTTATACAGACATGGAATCACTCCCAGTGGTTTCATTTTCTAGGAGTAGGGCAGTGAAAGGATAAACCACAGAAGTCTAAATTTCTCTGAAATCCTGAACAGGAGTTTGATATTTCCCTAGGCTTCGCCAGAGTACCCCCAGTGATATCTAGAGTTGTCCCAGTTCATCCTGTAAGAGGCTTATCTATGCACTGAATGCTACAATTTTTATAATTCCCACAACATACTTAACCACCTATTTCTAGGAGTCTGGGACTTATCATTCTTGATGCTCCTTAAATCACAAAAAAAGAAGTAAACACAAAATGGGTCCACACCCAGCAGTTATTGTCCCAGGATCACATAAAGCAGTTGGAACACAAATGCAAGTATTTGCTACAAATTAATTCCCTATAAAATTAGAGAGAGGGTGAAAGATGAACTCTCTTATGAGGATAAAAGGTTGGAACATATGTCTAATGCCCTTACATGTTCAGCAGAGTCTGCCTTCTGCTTGTACTACTGTGTAGTATCTACAGGGTATAACACATTAATCTCCCATAGACCAGCAGAAACAGAGAAAATATTTGGGGAAAACATGAAGATTTATGTGTGTGGCCAGACAGAGTTCTTCTATTCAAGAACAATCTAACAACACTCGGAGAAGCAAATCTCTCATCTAGAGCACAGAAACTACCAAAGGGTATCTAGGAAAATTAAAAATAGAGACATCTGTTCCAAATAAAATAGCAAAGTCTGCAGAAACCAATCTCAGTGAACTGGAGACACTTTATTTACCTGACAGATATTCTTGAATAACAATATAAAAATGCTCATCAAAGTAAGAAGAGCAATGTGCAAATAAATGGAGAATTTCCGGAGATAGAAAGTATTTTTTAAAGTCCCAAATAGAAACCACCGAATTGAACTAAAAAATTCCATGGAATGCTTTGACAGCCTATTAGATCAAGTAGAAGAAAGGACCAGTTACACAAAGACAGTTGACTAAATATCATCAAATCTAAGGAGCAAAAAGAAAAAACAAAAGAATGAAAAGGGTAAAGGAGACTTAAAAGCCACAATCAAACAGAACCACATATACATTATCAGTGTGCAAGGGAGATAAGAAAGATAGAAAAAGACTGAAACCTATTCAAAGAAATTTAGCAGACAACTTCCCACGTCTGGGGAAGAACTAGAAATCCAGGTCTGGGAAGCCCAAAGGACATACATAAGATGAATCCAAAGAGACTAACACCAAAACACATCACAATCAAGTTGTCTAAATATAAAGACAAAGAGTATGTTTCGAAAATATCAAGGGAAAACTGACTTGATACACTTAAGATAACCCTGATAAGGCTATGAATTTTTTCAGCAAACTCCTCAAAGGCCGGAAGTGAGTGGAATGATATATTCAAAATCCTGAAGGAAAAAATTATTTGGGAAACTACCCAATAAGTTTGTCTTATAAAAACGAAAGGGTGGGGACCAGCGCCGTGGTGCAGTAGGTTAATCCTCCACCTGAGGTGCCCACATCTCACATGGGCACCAGTTTGAGTCCCGGCTGTTCCTCTTCCGATCCAGCTCTCTGCTTTGGCCTGGGAAAGCACTAGAAGATGGCTCAAATGCTTGGACCCCTGCACCCACATGGGAGACCTGGAAGAAGCTCCTGGCTCCTGGATTCGGATCAGCTCAGCTCCGGCCGTTGCGGCCATCTGGGGAGTGAACCAGCAGATGGAAGACCTCTCTCTCTGTCTCTCCCTCTTACTGTCTATACCTATCTCACAAATAAATAAATAAAGTCTTAAAAAAAAATGAAAGGGTGAGTTGGTAATTAGGTTACTGGTTAACACAAAACTTAGGAGACCCACAACCCATATTCAAAGTGCCTGGTTTAATTCTCAGCTCCTTTGGCCTGCGCTGTAGCGCAGTGGGTTAAAGCCCCAGCCTGCAGCCCCGGCATCCCATATGGGCGCCAGTTCTAGTCCCAGCTGCTCCTCTTCCAATCCAGCTCTGTGCTATGGCCTGGGAAAGCAGCAGAAGATGGCCCCAAGTCCTTGGGCCCCTGCACCCATGTGGGAGACCTGGAAGAAGCTCCTGGCTCCTGGCTCCGGGTCAGCTCAGCTCTGGTTGTTGCAGTCATTTGGGGAGTGAACCAGCGAAATGGAAGACCTCTCTCTCTCTCTCTCTCTCTGTGTGTGTGTGTGTGTGTGTGTGTGTCTGGCTCTACCTCTCTCTGTAACTCTTTCAAAAAAAATAAAATAATTTAAAAAAAAACTCAGCTCCTTTACAGATTCCAGCTTCCTGTGAAAGTATACTCAGGAATCAGCAAGTAATGGCTCAATTAGTGTGTCCCTGCCACCCAGGTGAGAGACTTGAGTTTCTGGCTCCTGGTGCTCACTCTCTCTCATTCTCTCTCCCCTCCCTTCATTCCTTCCTCCTTCCATCCCTACCTCCACCCCCTTCTTCCTCTCTCTATCTCTCTTCTTTCAAACAAATTAATTAAATAAATGTTTAAATGATCTTCTCAGGCCGAATTTCTTTAAAAAAAAACTTTCAAAAATGGAAATGCTGAGATGTATCAGTTTTACTGCAAATACAGTGCTTTGTCAAATTTAGTTTTAGATCTCTGTCAAACAATGTGATAGACATTGCTTATTACCATGGTTTTAATGATTCTGTGACTATATAAAATTTATATGAGGGAAGTTGAACATCTTTTCCTTTAATTATTGCTTACAGTCCCTGCTTATTTTCCTCCTGGACTATGGTCCTTTACTTTTAATTTTCTGAGATCTTTATATAGTTGAGCAATTAAGCTTGACTATAATCTAAATTTAAAATGTTACCTCAAAAAGTTAATGACAATATGTTGAAAAGATAAAATTATTAAAAACAATAATACATACAGTAGCTTGTTAAGGAATATACATTATATGCAGTTACAGACTGTGACATCAAAACATACAACATGGGGCAGGAGTATAGTGAAAGTTAGTTTCTGTATGTCACTAAAATTAATGTGGGCATAAAGTACCACATTTTACGTACAAGATACTTCATTTAACAGTGAGATAACCTGAAAGTGAATGTCTGTAATAAACATAACAAGTAAAAATTAAGCATTTCAAAACATATCACTACAGAAAACATCAAGCCAAAACATAAGATATCCAGAAAGAATTAAGGAAAAACAAATCTGCAAAATAAGGGAACATTTTTTAAGATTTCACCAGTCAGTCACAATATATCAACAATTACTATGAAAAGGTTACCTTCTCTGATAAAAAAGCATGGAGTGGCTGAATGGAAAAAATAAGTAATAAATACATAAACATGACCCAGACATCCAATGCCAACAAGACTCGTGGTCTGAAAGCAAATAGTCAGCTAGATAGTCTGAAAGTAGGCCTTAAGATCCAACTTCACTTACAGGTCACTCTACCGAATGCAAAGGATCATTTTCTGTAAGTTTTACTTGCATTCCACTTTTGTTCTGGCTCATAGCTTTACTTGGTCAAATCAAAACTCCCAGTGCCAGCATACAGACAGACACCTCCAATGTCTTATCTGTCCAAATTCATTTTTGCTTACACTAATTAAGGGTTATTTTGTTTCTTTGCCATCTCAGACTTGGAACCTCTCATTACACAGTTTCACCCACCTGAAATTCCCTCTCCTATACTTGACTGCAAATATTTGAAGATCCATATCCAACTTCAGGACATGGAGGAAGCCCTCTAGGTCAAAACCTTGCTTCTCTTCCCAAATACTGTAGGATATGATTGCGTTCACAATCCTATATGGTTTGATACTTTGAATTTTTAAAATTTTGTTCTCAATGCCAACTGAGATTTGTACTCTGTGTTGCCTCGAATAATTAGCACCTAAAACAGAGCCCATGTATTCTAATTGCTTAACAACTCAATTTTAACTTCTCCATGACGCTTAGTCAAGATCCATGCCCTTGATATATAATTAAACTGCTTGCCAAGCATTTCCTATTTGACCATTGAAACATTCCTATTATGTATGCATCATCAATGAGCCACAAAATACAGGCAAACTAATCACACTTTACCTGTTCCATTTTGATCAGGAAACAATCAATGAAGTCCCGAGGATTGTTAATGTCCAGGGATTTTTGGTGTTCCTTTATTTGCTCTGTAATATAATTCTTCACATAAAAAATATTTTTAACTGCTTTCCTATGACTCCCAGGGAAATAATCGAAGAGAATAGGAAAACAATTGCAGAACTGAAAAATTTTAAAAATATTTATTATATTAAAAGCACATATTGAAGACAAATACACCACATGTCAACTTATACTTTAAACTATGGATAAAAATAATCTCTACCTTAAGGAGTAATATTTTATTACTCAAATAAAATAATCCTATGTGCAGTCAGAGAGACGTAAGGGAGCACATGATCAAAATTAAAAATAATTTATTGTATCACACATTACTTTTATGGATCTCTTTGTTGATTCTCTAATTTCATCATTAATTCTCCCCCTGAAACACTGAAATAATAAAGACTAGCAAGAGTTGCCATCATTCACATTCTGTGACATTCATGACAGAAGCAAGGAATATTTAGCAACCTAATATCCAGCACACACCACTCGCTGATATTTATTCCATGAGCAAACAACTGCAGGAATAAAAATCATTGTTGTGTGAATGCAAGGGTCACAAAGACATCGTGGAATCCAGATCAACATTTTACATTCAAAAACCCATGCACCAGAGTGGATAAGTTACTTCTGTCACATCACATTGCTCCAGTTCAGCACACAGTGAAATTGCGTTGCTTATATTTCGGGTTTTATACCTCTAATCCAATCATTTGGTTAGCTAATCCCCATTTGGTTAGCTAGCATCTCAGAAAAGCAATCAACCATCCCTACCCTAATCTGAGCTTCCAGGTAGTATATGTGCTCTCAAATATGCTCCTTCCTTGACTCACCAAATTAGGGTATTTCAGCCAAAGAATGTGGTGAAGGGTTCTCTCAGTGTTGACTGGTAAACAAGTATGTGGGTAGCAGAAGATTTTTCAAGAAAGGCCTTGGATCTCCAGCAAGGGCCTTGGGCATTCATTTGGACAATTATTCAATGACTTCATGGAAACTGAGTTTTCAGGTTTGATGGACAAGGGGCTTGAATTCCAGCTCTCTAATCAGACATCTGGCTATAAAATAAAGCACTCAATTCTATATTCTAGGCAGCCACTCCATGATGCTACAATATGGATAGGACTGTGGCATGCAAACATTCACTTCATCATGAGATGTCTGCCAAAATGGTACAGTAGGCACTTCCAAATCCCACCCCTCCACAAAAGTTTTGAGAAATCAAGCAAAAGCAGTCAGAATCAACTCTAGAAAATAGTAAAAGCTTTACAGCAACAGGAGAAAGCTGAAGGTAAAAAAAAAAAAAAAAGGTGCAAGTTAAAAGTGGTAGGAAAACTTGTGGCATTTTTGCTTGCCCTTGTCCTATCCCCCTCCTTGATTTGTCAGTGGTCTTGGAAAGGAAGCCCCTGATTCAAAAGGAGGAAATTTCTTTTCTTGTTCTAACTTGTCTGAGGTCCACCTGAAGAACAATGCAAGGCACTTATCTTTGTTTCATCTAATTCAGAATTCACTCAGGGTAGAAAAGAATCCAGTGTATCTCTGAAACCTTGTAGGGCAAATGGACAACTTGCAGCTGACCTGAGGCAAAGGATTACAACTGAAATACACAATAAAGCACTATGAACCTGGGAAGAAAAGGTAGGTAAAGAATATCGTAGACAACATGGGCATTCAGAAGTGCCCATATATACTGGGGAATTTAGAAAACTGAAGATACCCTGACCAGGACATAGGCTAAGAAAAGAGATTTGTCAGGAAGAGAGGAACTTGGTCTCACCTGTACCCAGGGGGAATTCAGAATCTTGAAGTTTTCATTGAACTTTCCCATCAAACTAAGAAAATCCTGGTCCGTGTAATCAAAACGGTTCTGGAAAATCACGGAGCAGATCACATTGCAGGGAGCAGCACCCAGGATAAAGGTGGGATCACAGGGTGAGGCTGAAGAATTAGAAACATTTTCAAAATACTACGAAATACACATACATAAGTTTTTGCCTTTGAACTTTCAAAAAAATGTAATTTTGGAATCTAAAACAATATTTACATGGAAATTACCTAATCAACAACATCTTTGACACAGTTAGTCCAACACAAAACTTTTCCGGTAAACCTGAATTGACCATTTCATCCTAATTTGTTTTATAATGATTTCCCAGCTACTCCATTAACATCCAATGCCTTAGGTCAATGTTATTTTGGAAGGCAAAAGGGAAAAAAAGACTTAGAGGTCACTTTTGTAAACACCTAATAACTTGAGTTGTCAGCGTAGAATTATATCTATCATGAAACTTTGTTGACAATTAAGGAAAGAAATGTCTTGTGACTTTTTTTTTTTTTTTTTGGTTTTTTGACAGGCAGAGTGGACAGTGAGAGAGAGAGACAGAGAGAAAGGTCTTCCTTTTGCCTTTGGTTCACCTTCCAATGGCCGCCGCGGCCATCCTCCACTGCACTCCCTGGCCACAGCAGAGAGCAGACCTGGAAGAGGGGCAACTGGGAAAGAATCCGGCGCCCCGACCGGGACTAGAACCCGGTGTGCCGGTGCCGCAAGGCGGAGGAGTAGCCTAGTGAGCCGCAGCACCGGCCCGGCTTGTGACTTTTTATAGATGCCAAATAATTGAAGAAACTATAAATTGAAACTGCAGAGAGGAAGAATAAAGAGAGAAAATGTATGAGAGAATTAAGTTGTTTGGTGAAAGAAATACAGACAGCAAATACCATCCGTGCAATGTGAAAAGAAACCATAACCCAAATAAACACAAATTATAAGATAGATTTGTTCACCTAAAACTGAAATTAGAAATTTTACTTCAAACTTAAATTTCAAGAAAAAAAAAAAAAGGAAAAATGAATTCCATTTATTTCTTTAATGTAGAAAAAAATGATTCCTGCCCTTGGAAACCAGGTACATCACCACCAATCAGCACTTACATTTTATTCATTTGGACAAACTTCATGCTCTTGTGGAATTGTAGACTATTGCTCTACATAACCATCAAAAGAACTCTGGGTTACTATGAACTTTTGAATTTGACTGTCAGTTAGGTCAAGTCCATCATTTCACTAATGAAAACAGTTATAGCAGTGGAAAGTTGTTTTCTGCTCTTTTTAAACTTTTATTTAATAAATATAAACTTCGAAAGTACAACTTTTAGATTATAGTGGTTTTCCCCCATAATCTCCCTCCCACCCACAACCATCGCATCTCCTACTCTCTCTCCCATCCCATTCTTCATTAAAATTCATTTTTAATTATCTTTATATACAGAAGATCAATTTAGTATATATTAAGTAATGATTTCAACAGTTTGCACCCACACAGATACACAAAGTATAGAGTACTGTTTGAGTAATAGTTAAATAATAGTAGTAGGTAAATAATTACCATAAATGTATAACCTGGAATCCAACTGGTTATCAATGTACCTGAGATTTTTAAAATTTGTTGGCTATGGTGAGGTCAGGAGGAGAAGAGTTAATGGATATTGAAAAAACAGGAGGTTCTGCACAGTTCCCAAGAGGAAGAGGCATGAGGACCATGCAAGTAAGCACCTGGGGTGGTCAAGAGGCTAAAGGATCAAGGGAGACAGCTGGGTACACAGGTTCTAATGAGGTTTTCATTGGAAGGGATGGGTGACCATGATACTACACTAAGTATAGTGTTGGATAATTTGAGTAATGTCAAAGACATCTGTGCTATGAGCAGAGGGTGGAGGTGTCTAGTGGTCCATCACTTGGGAGAATAAAGGAGAATACTGGTTTGCTGTGTAAGTTTCATAAACGAGATGGAAGTATGCACTATGGTGAAGTAGGTCTGAGTATCAAGGGCATGCAATGTGCACATGTTTGCTCTCTCTAGTAATGAGGCAATCCTTGGGGTAGATGTCATTCCCTGGGTCTAGATCCATAACAATACCAGATGTCAGAGTTACATAAAATATAGAAAATAAAAACATGATTAATATGGAAATAATGAGTGGGAATATAAGCAAACTCAAAAAAAAGTCAATTTAAAATTAAGGTAGGTAGAGTGAAGAGTTAATATCAATCATTCTAATATTGTTCTTTGTGCAGTTTGTAGCATTTAGCTGTAGTTTATGATTTTTACTCAACGTATACGAAACAATATGGTAAGCAGTTAAACAACATTAAATAACTTTCGCTGAGAATTTTAAAATAGTTACTCATCTACAGAGAAAGTATAATGGATAAGGACTGTTTTCAGCATTGCCTAGGTGTTGAAAATCATAGACAAGCATAGTTCCTGGCAGACATCGTAGTCGTAGGCCTGGAGAAAATCACCTGGACATGTCAGTGAGGCTCTTTCTGCAAATATAGACCAATTAAGTGAAAGTATCAGTAATTCTTTGAGTTCCATGAGGATGTGATGAATTCATTTCCACCAGGTGTTCTGGAAAACTATCCCCTGATGAAATGTTCTAAACAGTTATTACACAATTACTATATTGAAAAATATTAAACGCTATCTATTTGAAAAACATGATAGCTTTAAAACAATGCAGGAGCAGGAAAGGATAATGCAATGATTTTATTCCCAACACTGTACGTAAGTCAGGGTATAAAACACAACATTCAAACATACACAAAAGTTCCCTTGACTCTGTCAGAAAGTCCCTTCTCCTTTGGGCACTGACAACCAGGACACAGAATGAAAGATTTTTCTCACTTGCACTGTGTCCAGGGCCACCACTAGAGAAGAGAGCATTCCTTAAGGACATATAAAGAGTCACCCACCATTGGTTTTTCTCAGCTCCTCCACCAGGCAGTGGGCTTCTTCTTGAACTCGTTCCTCAATGCTCCTCTTCCCCATTCCGAAATTCCGCAGGGTCATGAGTGAGAAGCGCCGGGTCTCCGTCCATCTCTTTCCATTGCTGAAAATGACTCCTAAAGGTTAAGAAACGGAAGCTAGAAGAGGACTCCAGGCAATAAAGCGGAAGCTGACACCTGTTAGCCTTGCGGATTGGCCCAGCTCTGCTGGAGGAGCCATTTGCATTTGTTTTCCGTCCTCTCCACCCCCTTCACCACCAGCCAACAAACACACAGGCACAAGCACACCTACCAAATCCTTTATTAAGTTTTGCAGTCACTAGGAAACGGCTTCTTCCAGAAAGCTCGTGTCCAAGATCGACTAGGGCCTCCTTCACTGCTTCATACCCATGCACCACCACAGTGGGCTTCATGCCCAGATACACAGTGAACACGGGCCCATAGACTTTTGACAGCTGGAAATTGAAAAAAAAATAATACTAGCAAAAGAAATCACTCTTTGGTGTAGATATTGTTGCCTGATTGGGACTAATGGTACCATCATATTGTTCATATTTTTGTTCCTTTAAAGCAACTTCAAATATTTCCATACCAGATGCTTCCCATGAGTCAGGCTCTTGCAGGGGAAATTAGTATGCAGATTATCACCACTAATCAACACATTCAGCTAGATTTATTTACTGTTTTACAGATAAAGAGACTAAGGTAAAAGAATTTCAAATTCCTGGTCCCATGACGAATAAATAGACTCAAATGCAAACCCTGCTTTGCCAGTCTCTGATGCCTGAGCACTTCACCAGAGATTATTGCTCAAATTTGATCAACACACAGCTACCAAGGACACTACTTGAAATTACCTACAAAGCTCTTCTCACAGTGAACACACTCAGTAGTGATAAACAGAAGAAATCTACATTTATCAAAGGCACCCCAGGTACTGCTAATATCCAGCCTAGGTTAAGATTTGCTGATATTATTAACACAGAGGAAGAGTGGGCACTGCAAGGCAGGGTAAGGATATACAGATGTCATGAAAGGACAATTCAATCCACACTCTACATTCACAGGACAAAGACAGTACTTTGTACAGGCCCCAAAGTATTCCAGTACCACCCAGCACATCCTAGCTCATTGTTTCATCATTCACTTGTGTTTATTGTAGTACCATACTTCCATGACATCAGCCATAATTCACTTCCTCTGGTTTAATTTTCTTAGGTTATCTGAACAAAATACATGCATAAACAGTAGATTACATCTTGAGTGAACTCTCTGGTAACAAAACACTTTATTATCATTGAATCAGGTAATAAAATCATTAATAAAATTACTGTAAAACAAAGGCAGCAATATCTTGTTGTATTGACTCCACCTTACAACTTACATATTTCCCTACTGGCAAAATGTAGTATTTTATTCTATTATTCCTGACAATGACCCACCAAAAATAATAACCCAGATGAAATATTTCCCTTAAATAAAATATTTTAGTAATTTACCTCCAGGAATATAATTTATTTAAAATTTGAGGCTAACTATTTGCCCTTCACAAACCATTAGAGCATCGTAATGTATACTTACATTGGTTAAAGATTTGCTTAAGTCCTTAAAATCTAACTGCAGGACGTTTCCAAGAATTGGAAAAGGAGTGGGGCCAGGAGGAAGCTTCCCTCCCCCATGGCTCTGTTTCCAGAGTGAAAGGAGAAGCAAACAGGAGAGACAGAGCCCCAGCACTACCACCAGATCCATGGGAGCCTTCTCTTCCTGACAACTGGAAGCTGCAAGCTCAGGCTTTTATAACACTCCTGCTAATTTTGTGTCCCTTTGACCTAAAAAGTACCCAATGAACTAGGTGTACTTCATTCTCTCTGAGTGGACTTTGGACCACTGAAAAAGGTGAAAATAAGATGTTCTTTCCTCTTGCTCTGTTTTCCAGTGCTCCCCTCCTCCACCCAAGAGCAGGGGTCCTGTTCTGTCTAGTGTAGGCTGGGGAAGGCATTTTTGCTGCTTTTTAAAACACTCCAGCTGGTTCCATTGCGAAGCCACAATTGGGAATCAATGCAATAAATTATTTCCTGATTTCTTCCATTGGTGACAGTTATGAATTTGACATTGAGGGCAATCAATTCATACCATCTTTTATATATAAAATGCTCACCCTATAACAATACCTGAAATATTAGAACAGTTTCCTGGAAAAATTAACACCTTTTAAAATATTTTAATGTATATGCTAACATTGCCAATAAACATGCAATAGCTAAAATAGTTCTGACTTGCACATCTTGAATAACCAAACATATATCAGCTAAATATTCATACCCTTAACAATAAAGCCAAAAAGCATGAAAAGGCAGGTATTAACTTTTTTTGCCTTTCAATTGAAGAAAGGCAGATCCTGGGGAAACAAGACTCCTGTAGTGTCCCACAACTCACTCACAGCAGAAATGGGATAGGACCTGAGCTCCTTTGAGGTTAATTGTGGTGCATTACCGCTCACATCTCAGTTTTTTCAAGAACAATTTTAGAAATAAAATGTTACTCCATAGGTACACCACACTGGTCACTACGTAACAGGGCCACACACTCTGCAGACAAGAAGTAGATAACAGGGTTCTCTATTTTCCATCACTAAAGAGGTGAAACTTACTCAATGTCACTGCAGCAAAAGCCAATGCAGAGAACCAAGTGCAGAGGGCTGGACAAAGGATGGCTTCTCCACCTCCTAGTCAGTTCCATACACCTGTTTCTGTTGCTTTCTTGGGCTGTCATTGTTAAAAATAACACAAAAAGATAATGGAAAGTCAGGAAGGGAGACCACGGAGAGATCCACATGCTTGATTTGCAGATGCGCAGGAGAGGCAGGGACTTCTTCAAACAGAGCTATGGCATAGACGGACCACCATGTACAGACTTGAATGGGCATAAGGATGGAAATAGCGCTAGAATGGCAAACCTTACTAGATCATCAGGGGCACTGCTTGTACAAAGGCATATCCTGTAAACACATCATTACAATTTTGATATATTGATAAGCACAGTCATTTCTTTTTCACTTCATTGCTTTTGTAAATATGTAAGGTGTACAACATGATGTTTTAATATAATAAAACCAGTGAAATGATTATCACAAACAACTTTTCATACCTATGACTTTACTAAGTTACTGTTTTTGGTAGTAACACCTAGAATCTACACAGTTAGCAAGTTCTCATGATTCAATACACTATTAACTATAGTTTTCATGCTATACATTAGCTCTCTGGAATTACTTATCCCTCCCTAACTGCAAATGTGACCTTTGACCCACATTTACCCAGTTTACCTCCTCCCCACCCCTGAAAAACACCATTCTACTCATGCTTCTATCCATTGACTGATTTTTTTAGATTCCACATATAAGTGAGATGCTATAATATTTTTCTATGTCTGCTATATTTCTTTAAGTATAAAGTCCTACAGTTCACCCACGTTGCCATAATTGTTAAGGTGTGCTATTTTTAAGGTGAAGAAAGTTCCAAAGAGTTTATCAGAATTCATCAGGTCACCTGCTGATGAACATTTAGACTATGCGTGTATCCTGGTTGCTGTGAATAATGCTGAGTTATTGTGGTTATTTCTAACTAAAATAAAGAGACATCTAGTTTTGTAAAGACTACAGATATGCAACATTTATAATTGGTCATGTTTGTAAGGATTCTGATAATTTACACAGAATTTTCACATCTATCATATCAATTTGGATTCCCTCAATTACCTTTGCCTGTCCCTTGGCCAGTGAAGCAGCTCCCAAAGGAGGCAGAGCTCATGTCAAATTCCTTGTCCCATGAGTCATGCCACTTTCCTACCAAGCAGACAGTCAATTCAGCAGGTTTACCGATATGAACTTACAGTGACATTCAGTATTGACTTTTAAGTAAGCATGAACTGAGTCAATAATTGAGGCACAGGTTAATGAAAATGAGGGTCAGATAAGGTCTGTTTCATAACCTATAAAATTATGCAAGTAAAATTTTGATTTTAGGACTCTACAAGAATTGTATACCTTATTTGGATAAAACAAAATAAAAGGATCTGTTTAAAGAAATAACTTTATTGCTTGAGAAGTGGAATCACTGTTCATCCTTTTTACTTCTGGGGCCCCTGCTTGGTCCTTTCTCTTTGTAGGATGAGAAGGACACAGAAATAATTACAGAGATAAAAGGCCTCAGAGATCCAGTAATGTAAAGGCTACCTTAATTAGGGAATAAGAAATCATGACATGAAGTGCCTCTACTACATCAATACTAGATCTTGTTTAAGAACCCAGGTTTCAATTTTCAGTTCAGTGATTCTCAGATCAAAGGACTTTCTTGTCACTGACTAAATGAATGGTGAGGAGAGAATCTCCAAGAAATCCTTCACCATCAACAGAGTAATGCACACCTCAACTTGGGCAAATTGTGAATTAGACATAGCTTGTATTCAACAAATGCTTATCTGGAGGCATTATACATATAGAGAATGCAGCATGCATCCTACATGGATGATTCAGCTCAATGAATTCTTACAAACTAAATGTATTGTGTAACCAACACATTGGTCAAGAAAAATAATTTTTTCATGACGTCAGAATACCCTTTATGTCTCTGCATATACCCTATCTTTCCTCTTTCTTTTTTTTAACTTTTATTTAATGAATATAAATTTCCAGAGTATGACTTATGGATTACAATGGCTTCCCCCCCATAACGTCCCTCCCACCCGCAACCCTCCCCTTTCCCACTCCCTCTCCCCTTCCATTCACATCAAGATTCATTTTCGATTCTCTTTATATACAGAAGATCAGTTTGGCATACATTAAGTAAAGATTTCAACAGTTTGCTCCCACACAGAAACATAAAGTGAAAAATAATAGATGATTTTTTAAATGATGATGAAATCAGATCAGACCTATTGTCATGTTTAATCCCAGTGAGAGTCAAGTTGGGAAAGTGGGAAATGATAATTTCTTTTTTTTTTTTTTTTTTTTTTTACAGAAGATCAGTTTAGTATACATTAAGTAAAGCTTTCAACAGCTTGCACCCCCATAGAAACACAAAGTGAAATATACTGTTTGAGTACTCGTTATAGCATTAAGTCTCAATGTACAGCACGCTAAGGACAGAGATCCTACATGAGGAGTAAGTGCACAGTGACTCCTGTTGTTGACTTTACAAATTGACACTCCTGTTTATGGCATCAGTAATCTCCCTATGCACCAGTCATGAGTTTCCAAGGCTATGGAAGCCCCTTGAGTTCTCCGACTCTTATCTTGTTTAGACAAGGTCATAGTCAAAGTGGAGGTTCTCTCCTCCCTTCAGAGAAAGGTACCTCCTTCTTTGAAGACCTGTTCTTTCCACTGGGATCTCACTCACAGAGATCTTTCATTTAGGTGTTTGTTTTTTGTTTTGTTTTTTGTTTTGTTTTGTTTTGTTTTGTTTTTGTTTTCCAGAGTGTCTTGGCTTTCCATGCCTGAAATACTCTCATGGGCTTTTCAGCCAGATCGAATGCCTTTAGGGCTGATTCTGAGGCCAGAGTGCTGTTTAGGACATCCACCATTCTATGAGTCTGCTGAGTATCTCGCTTCCCATGTTGGATCACTCTCCCCTTTATTCCTCTTTCCAAAATATACCCAGTATCAAGTCATAAGTTAGTTTTGCCTCTTTGTAAACTTAATATAAATGGAATTGTACATTATGCATTTTTAATATCTATTTTCTCAGTAGCTATTGTGTTTGTGAAATTAATTCATGTTGAAAAAGTAGTATGCCATAAGTTATATTTTATTTCAAGATTTTTATTTGATTACTATTCTGCAGTTTATTTTTCTCCATTGTATCATTATGTATATCTGAGTTGATTCTAGTTATGACTATTGTGGATAGTTCTGTTATTATCCAAATCTTTTATTATGCCAATGTAAGTAATTGTGTCTAGTACACCTATGAACACTACTGACAAATACACTTACACTTGTTCAGTTTTAATAACTACTGAAAAAGAGTTAAGTCTATTTACAATTTAGCAATTGCTTCACATTCTTCAAAACATTTAGTATATTCAGTCTTCCTTTGTTTGAACCATTCTGATGAGTATGTGAAAATGTCTCATTTTAATTTAATTTGCATTTCCACAAAGCTTTGTGGTGTCCACCACTTTTTTATTTGTCCATTGGTAACATCAAATCTTGTTTTGTGAAGGGTTAGTGCAGTTTAGATATAATACCATTGTTTACTTAATATATACAATTCTATATATACATATACACACATATTTTATTATTTATATCTTTATATAACATTTATCAACCACAAACGTATAGAAAATTGGAAATTGTCAAGTCTAAGGGATATGTTGATACCACTTAACTTTTCCCCTTCAGTCCAATTTGTATCAAAGGTGAGTCTTAGACACCGTGTAATGTTCAAGCAGTGTACTTTGGTAGTACTCCCAACAAGACCAGCAGCAGGAGCAGACCAATGGATTAGGACAAAGTTGGGAGTCAGGTGACCACCTTACCAAGAGGGTCTCCATTTAGAATCTATTCTCAAAGTCTGGGGAATCCATTCCCCTTTCATATACTTGTAATCAATCTGAGTCAGTTTCCTCTGTATTTTCTGTATATTCCTCTGGATTTTCCTCTGTAAAGAGAGTTTAACCTATGTTTGCAAGGGAAAGCTCTACTTACTGTTTAAGGTTTGCAGGAGTTGCATCCATGCCAAAGGGGTCTCCTCCTAGAACTCCCCACATCCAGGTGCATCATACTGCTAAGTGACACATGATACA